TCCAAAAAAGGTGCTGGAACTCCGTTCTGGGCGTTCTATGACAAAAAAAAAAAAAAAAGCCCTGCCTTTATATAACTGCCCATCTTTCAGTCAACTCTGGGTGGCTCCCAATCAAAGATTAAGAAGAACATAAAAAATCATTTTAAAAACTATAAAACACAACTAGATAAAAGATTGTGTTATTTAATAACAGAAACGAGAAGTTCATGTTATGATACCTGCTTCACTTTTTTCCCCTTTAAATATAATAATAATATATCTTATGCTTCAAATTATAGAATCACATCAGTTTCAAAATTAATACTGTGATTAGTGATGGCATTAAAAAAGAAGGCAGGCTTATTACAGAATCTCTCATACACACAATTCTTCTGAGGAAACCTGGATCCCAAGTTTCATAGGCCTTTGCACAGCTAAGAGAACTGCATTCAGTCTTCAAAAAGCCAGATGTAGCCTCAGAGCTATCCAGGAAAACATCAAGTAACTCTGCACTTCTACTCTAATCTAATTCAGCATCTGCTCACGTGATCCAGGCAATGGTCTCTTATTCTCCCAAGTTTTGCCCTTTGATCTGAGCAATTTAACTTCCAGCTGCTAGATTCTAACGGCAGTAACTACTGGAAGTTATGATTCTGCAAATCCAGATTACATTAAGCTACAATATTATTTTTTAAAAATAATTTGTGATTGCCTTCTATAAAGATCACAATGGATGTGAGAGCTTAAACAAGTAGAGAAATTGGGAAGGGGGAAGAGTTCAAAAGATATGACAGTGATGTTTAACAAAGTTGTATTTATGGTCCAAGACCAAACACAACTGACAACATTAATAAGCAACAATCTATAAATTCTTAATGCAAATCAACTGTCAATATTATTATTTACTGAACCAAACATTTGCCAGAGACCTAATATTTTGATTAATCCTAGTAAAGTTCAATTTAGTTCTTTAATAGAATGGAACTGGGGAAAAAAGCAAATACACTTTAGCATTCATTGTAATGATGCAAAAGAAAAAAGTTCCTTTCCCACAGATAAAAATTTCCATGCAGCCTGGAATGAAATATGTAATTCTGCATGTACAGTATATTTGCTACCTTCTCCAAATTGATCTAGATCCTATTCCTATCAATAGAGTTATTACCAGATTCCTTCCCCCCTCCACTTTCTGTCATTTGTCATAATTCCAGTCAGGTGTTTAGAAGCACATAATACATTTTACCTAATCTGATCTATTATAGGTAATATCACAAAAAGCACTATCCCATACTTTTCCAGTTGTTGACACTAGGCCCATCTTCCCTGAAGGCAATGACAAAGTTGTTTTGCTCTTTACATTTACATTTCCAACATTCATTTGAGATACCCTTTATAGAATGTATACATTCTAGTTTTATCATTTATGGTGGACTGCGATAAAGCAAAGAAATATTGGAGTAGGGTTCATATTTTAATACAGAAAATTCTTAAAGTGAATATAAAGATAAAACCAGAAACTTTTCTTCTGGGCCTAATGGAAAAAGACTTGGGGAAAAAAATTTGGAACTCTGATTTTATATGTTGACGGCAGCAAGATTACTTTATGCACAAAAATGGAAGGATGTTTCAATTCCCATCATAGATAAATGGCTATATATTTGATGGAGTTAGCAGAGATGGCTAAACTGACTGTTCTGACAAAAGAAAAGAATAGAAATACTTTTGTTTCTACTTGGAAACCGTTTCTGGACTTTGTGCTTGAGATGGAAAAAAATAATACTTTGATTTTGGGCTTTACTGATTAGACTGATTTGTTTTACAGAAATTGGTAGTTTATACTACTATAGAAATGTAAAAAGTTGAGGTTCGATGTTAATGCCTATTTTACTGCAACAGAGAGAATCAGAAGTCAAAGACTTTTTTTTCTTTTCCCCCCTCTATTCCACACTTCTCTTTATCCCTTCCCCTTAACTTTGTTCCCTACTATTTGTTTTGGATTTTCGTATTTTCTATTATAAGCTAATAAACACACAAAGTTGTGTTGCCCTTGGAAGAATAAAGCAGAGGAGAAGATGGATAAAACTTCACTGATTATATATGTAAACATTGTATGTTAGCCTAGGCTACAGACAATTAGGAATCGTATGTAGTTGAGATAGTAGTAATATTAGAGAGAAGAAGCACCCTCTCTCTCCTCTGTATCTAGTCTAAATCCAAGCAGGCTAGCAGTGGAGGACATCTCTTCATCACACCCATTTGCATCTACAGAAAGACAAGTAAGGTGTCTAAGTGATCAAACATGCTTCATGACATAGTAAATATATCTTCGACCTATTGCAATATCATGAAGAAACATGTTTTTTCATTTTGGTATAGGGATGGACATAAATGCTCATTTATAAATGTTCATCTCTCATAAATGCTCATCTTTCAGGCATTTCTTAGTCAGCTCCCAACAAACTAGGATGTTTTTTTTTCAAGCCAGTAGCCTTATTAATAAGAATGCTATATGTAAGAAACTTACATGATACTAAATAGATAGATAAATTAAAGCATAAATAATCAAGTAGAGAAGCAACCTAGAACTAAGGAGAAATTTCCTGACAGGTTAGAATAGTTAATCATGGAACGACTTGCTTCCAAAAGTTGTGGATACTCCATTAATGGAGGTTTTTAAGAAGAGACTGGACAACAATTTGTCTGAAATGTTATAGGATTTCCTGCTTGAGCAGGGGTTGGACTAGAAGAACCCCAAGACTTCCAACGCTCTTATTTTGTTAAATGGTGCTTCTTGCCAATGTGCTATTTATTTTGACTGGAAATGACTCTCCAACACTGAGGTAAAGATCTCTTATCCCTAATTGCCTGAGATTATTTTAACTGGAATTAGGTCTTTATGAAAAGCTATAGTAAATTATGGTGTATCTGGAATCATATTCTGAATTCCATTCCCTTCCTGAGTTTCCCTCCTAATTCTAGAAAGCACCTCTGAATATTCTCCATATCCAATATAGAAAAACACCCCAAAGAGCAAATTACTGTAACTTTTTGAATCAAATTCTCCTCCTAGAGGAGAATGCCATAAATATTTTCTCTAATTTGCACTGGACTTTTTCAAAAAACAAAAGAAGTCATGAGGTGTTTCCACTCCCAGTCTAAAAGAAGTAGCTTTTGCATGTTTATATATTTTAAACAACCATAAACATACAGGGAGATTTTATTGTCCAGAGACGAATCTAAGATACCCAAAGGGTTTGTTTGTTTGTTTGTGTGTTTGTTTTAGTGGGGAAGGTATCTTCAAGTCAATGTTAGCTCCTGATGACTGCCTGGACAAGTCTCTGCAGTTTTCTTGACAAGATTTTCAGAAGTGATTTTACCTTTGCCTACTTCTTAGGGCTCAGAAACCTTGACTTTCCCAAGATCACCTAGCTGATTTTGTGTTAGGTAGGAGTTAGAATCTTCCAGCTAACCCGATGTCTTAACTAGTCCACTAACTCTTGATCTATCCAAAGTATATTTTGCCTCAAAATACTCATAATACTTCCTACCTTTGTTGTATGCATCCTGTGCATTTGTGCCTACATGCACACACATTTATATAATTCAGAGAGAGAGAGAGAGAGAGAGAGAGAGAGAGGGAGGGAGAGAGAGAGAGAACAAGCCGATATATTAAACCTATAATAAAATGTTTTTAATTCTATGCTCTTTCATCCCACCTTTTCAAATCACTGGACATTTACTTGTTGCTTCATTGAGATTTTAAGGTACTTCCTCATGGTTGACATAACAGTTGCTTTCTGGCTTGTAAAGAGCTGGTTCCTGCCTTACCAGCTTTATGCCTTACAATAAAGCCTCTTTAGTTATCAGCATAAAATTTTAGTACTTTGCCACACATGGAATAAATGTCAGAGAATTGATCATTCACAGATTAAAAGACCTCACAAGTAGAGATTTGTAGAACCTATGGAATTTTCCTTCATGCTTTAGGAACTAGAAAATTAAAATTACCATTTGAGAATAGGAACATTTTCCTTGAGTTCAGACATATTTATTTGGCATGATATAGTTGCCACCTTATTCCTTACAATTTAGGACAAATTGCATATGGTAAGTGGCTATCCTATAGATAGAAATAATATATTTGATAATTATTTTAGATAATTTTTACTAATCAAGGAGAGAAGCAACCTGGTATAGAGTTTCCTGCCTGAGCAGGGGGTTGGACTAGAAGACCTCCAAAGTCCCTTCCAACTCTTCTCTTCTCTTCTCTTCTCTTCTCTTCTCTTCTCTTCTCTTCTCTTCTCTTCTCTTCTCTTCTCTTCTCTTCTATACAGAATCTTCACAATCATGTTTGGTAACATAACATTAACTATAAACATAACTATAGATTATATACAAACACATTGCAATGTCGTGTTAAATTATGTACTTGGAATTTGACTACTTTTGATGTATTATGGTTGAGCCTACAATGTTGCTTAGAAAATTGTTCTGAGAAATTGGAAAATTATTCATATTCTTCATATTAAGGATTGAATTCCAGAGATGTGTGATTTATGTGTTTTTGAAAAGGCATTTTTATCTACTGAAAAAATTGATTCAATGTATTTTCTGTGGCATAGATTTCATGATATTTTGTAATATCAGACAAGAATTAATTTTACCCCCCTCAGGTAGATGTATGTGATATACATCAACAGCTTCACCCTTTATTTTATTTTTGTAATTTTTCATGACTTTTGCCCCTTTTTGCACATTTAAATTTTTTTACATTTATTTCTCTACAAACAATAAATTTGTTTTTAAAAAAATCCTATGGAGGTGATCAGGCTTGAAGAATGATTAATGAAGCGGATTGCTAAAAAAAACAGCTAAGTATGTCTTTCATTCCTATTGTAAATTTTCTCACTTGAACCTGTTTTTTACTTAAAAAAAAGAAATTGTTCTTGCACACATTAACAGTCTGAAAATGTTCTCAGCAGCTTTAAATAATGCAATGACTATGAATAAGATGAACTTACCCACTTAGGACCACAATGAAATCCATGACATTCCATCCATTTCGCAGGTATGATCCCTTGTGGAAAACAAATCCCAATGCAACTATTTTAATGCCAGCTTCAAAGCAAAAGATCCCAATAAAGTAAGGTTCTGTTTTTTCCTATAATAACAGAGAAAACAAACAGACCAGAAACTGTAATTAGCAAACATCAAGGAGAAATTTTTGGAACTTCCTAATTGCAATTCCTAATTCCTAATTTGAGTTTAGATTAACTATGTTTATTCAGTCCAATTGAATTCACTAGGATTTAATAAGGTCATAGTCTTAGATTATCTACTGAGATGATCTTGAATTTTTTCAGAATATATTCAGTAAATTAAAAACCACAAATCATTAGTTCTGATTAATTATCCAGACAAGATCTAACCAGCCCTATTGATTTCAGAAGAATTTTCCTTAAGTGGGATGGACATGTCAACATCCAAAGAGTTCCTTTCCTTAAACTTAGGCTCTTTGTGATTAATGAAAACATTCTTGCCTGCTGGTTCTCTCCCTCCCTCCCTCCATCTCTCTCTTTCTTTCTTTCTTTCTCTCTCTCTCTCTCTCTCTCTCTCTCTCTCTCTCTCTCTCTCTCTCTCACACACACACACACACACACACACTCTAAATATTTAAAGCAACAATAAAAACCAGTAGAATTCCAATTAGTTAGATCATATAGTACGTTTTAATAGTGTTGACATAATCCTTTATGTCACTGCATCTAGTGACAAGTGGGCATCCATTATCCATTATCTTATCTCCCCATCCCATACAACATTTACTTCTTAGGCTTACTAACTTGTCCAAATTCAGAGTGGCTCCATGCAGAGTGTGGAAACAGGAAACAGTTTCAAACAACAAATCCTGGGAATAAATCCTGGTTTCCATACCTCAATCTTTTGGCTGAATTTGTTGTATGCTTCCAGCCATTTTATAGTTTCTTGTTCCATACAACGAGGAAAATGGCAACTTGGCCTAGACTAATTTTCAGAAGAAATAAGAGCCAAGAGTGTTCTGTGCCATCTGGAGTTGGAACTCTGAAGTTACAACGAACATCTCCAGCCTCTGCTAAAAGACTAGAAGACTATTCTAAATCATGATAACCCCCCAAGTTCTGAAGGCAAGACAAAACTGCTGATCTATCATCCTTGAGATAGCAATTATACAGTCAAAAAACTGCAGTAATATCTAGAAGAAAGGAAAATCAAACAAGAATCAAAGTCAACTTACTAATCTGCGAGACATAGGTGTCTTATCATCTTCAGGGAGATGCTGCTCCAAGGCCAAAACGATGCAGTTCGCAATGATGGTTGCCAGAATCATGTATTCAAAAGGAGTGCAGAATTATGTTAAGGAATACAAAAAGAATAGCAGAAATAAAACCAGACTTTATATCAATTTATCCTTCTTCAAACATGCTTTTTTGTTACCCTGTCTACACCATAATACTCATTAATATCATTTATCCCAGAAAAATAAGTACTTTTGAGTGAGCAGTAAAGTGGAACACTTTGAGAAATATATTTGGAAGATATATAGGTGATCAAGGAAATATCCAAGTACAATGATAGATATTTTTGTACACAATTGGGTGTCTTCTTATTAACAAATCACCTTAGCATTTTATGATGTGTGATGTTTCAAATAAAGTGGGAAGAACCAGACTTCTACACATCTATAAAATTCACAAGACAGTAATGAAGATAAGACAAAATAATGCCAGTGTATGTAGGCAGACTAGAAATTTTCAAAGGAAGGATGGAATAACATACAAAACAAATAAATAAATGAGTTGCAGTAAAGCTATAGATTGGATTTCATGATAGCAGTGTTCTAATATCTCAGGGGCTGCCACAAAGAAGAGGGAGTCAAGCTATTTTCCAAGGTGCCTGAAGGCAGGACAAGAAGCAACGGATGGAAACTAATCAAGGAGAGAAGCAACCTAGAACTAAGGAGAAACTTCCTGACAATTAGAACAATTAACCAGTGGAACAACCTGCCTCCAGAAGTGGTGAATGCTCCAACACTGGAAGTTTTTAAGAAGAGACTGGACAGCCATTTGTCTGAAATGGTATAGGGTTTCCTGCCTGCGCAGGGGGTTGGACTAGATGACCTCCAAGGTCCCTTCCAACTTTTTTATTATTAATTATTTATTTATAAATTAATTGTCCATGGAAAGTGTATAATTTCCTTTTGTGTTGGCCCCAGTATCTCAGTCTTGTCAGTTTCTTTAGCCAATTCAACAACATAAAACAGTCATCAAGTAAGCCCTGGCTGATTGCCATCCAAAGAACAGCAAAACTGTAGCTGAGTTCATCCCATGCTGATGCTAAGCAAGAGGTTCTTTTTTGCATTAAACTAAATGCTCAGAATGAGTTATTGAAAAGACTGATCTGTCACCGTCCATTATTGCCAGCTCCATTGTTGGTCAAGGGTGGGTGTGAGGGGGAAGCTGTCTCTTTGAAGCTTTAGAAAGCTGAGAAATAAAATTGTTGTTATTATTAATATTGTGTTGCCATAGACTTCCACTTTCCAATTAGCTGTGTAGGTGGAGATTGACTTTAAAGTGGCAATCTGAGTTGTCAAGGTTATTAAGACAAGGATGAACTAATCTCTCAAACTATTAAATTATCCATGTAGAACTGGCAGGTTTTGACCTCCCAACCCGTCCTTTTCTCTGCATCATGGTTCAATCTCTGTCCTTCCTCACACATCGAAGTCCAGTTTTGTCTCTGCTTTGATTCCTAGTTTTCCTTTTTCAACTGTAGTAGCTATAACAAATGCACACTTTCAGAAGCAAAGCTGCAGGAATCTCTTGTCCTGATTACAGGAACTTTGGTCAATACTCAGTGGAATACCTAGGGACCTGACTAGAAATTATACCCACATCTACACTGAGTCAGGGGTCATCCAAGGCTAGTGGCATGACTTGGAGAGAGCAAGTGAACTGGTCCTGAAATAGAGCAGGTGAAACATACTCCATTGTTGTTCAGGCACCAGTTACTAAAGGCTGGGACTTTGCTATTTATATGGCACGTGATCAGACTGGAGTCTTTCTATTAGTATTTACCACAGTGTGAGAGAACATTGTAAACTCCTGTTACTTCCTGCACCTGAAGTGGTTTCTGACTGTAAACTGGGCCCTCAAACCTCTCAGGAAGTTAAATTCTACCCTCTTAACAAAAGCTTCCTTATTCAATTCACAGGACCTCAGAGCTCTGTAAGGAAAGATTCAAAAAGATATGAAGGGAAAGGAGGGCACAAAGGAGCAACTACTTCTCCAGCTGGCCTGCAGCAACTGGTACTTTCTGCTCACTGACAGCCTCGCTAAGAGAGTTCTACCTACTGGTCTGAAAAGCTCATAATTCCCATCTCTGGCACATCCCATCTCTGCAGTGAACAAAAACTCTTGTTAGGCTATTCCAAAACAATCAGGGTTGGGTTTTTTTGATGAAAATAATTGGAATGTGTATGTGGCAGAACATGGAAAGAGTGGCTCATCCTTGCTTTCCAATTGTTGCACTAGCCTCAACCTGCTTAAATATAAACCCAGCTGAGTATTTTTTATTTGTATTTAATTTTATTTATATGCCGCCCAATCCCAAAGGACTCAGGGCGGCGTACAGAGTTAAAACAATCATAAAACAATAAAATAATACAGTCATACCGTGAGTCCGATCATATCCCGCCCCCCCGGGGACATCAGCCCCAGGCCTGCTGGAACAGGAGAGTTTTAACGGTGACTTTGGGCCAAGCATTCTCTCTCAGCCCTAGGAAGGAGGCAATGGCAAATCATTTTTGAAAAATCTTTCAAGAAAAGCGCAGGGACTTATTATCCTGTCCAAGAACTGGATATGATTGAATGGAGGGAAAACAAGTCTTCCTCTCCACTTATAAATAACAATAGCATTTCCAGCAACTGAAAGAGGGAGCCTTTGGGGGAGAGAAGGAGCTCGCCATATAGGATATAGACTGCTCTCTTCCACTGTCAAGTGGAATTTAAAAAGCCAGTGTTGTTGTTTTCCTTAATAAGAGGGCGGGGATAGGGTAGGATGGAGAAAACATGAGTAAAATAAATGCCTTGTAATGTGGAACTAGGAGTGAAAGCTGGATCACTACAGCCAGAGATTTTCCATATGTGAAGTGTCTTCTGTCATATTTCATGAAAGACCAGAAGGAACTAAGCTGAAAATCCTATTCATCCGTATAAAAGTGCCAGAGGAAGGTGATGGTGGAATGAACTGTATAAGGAAGATGTCAGAACTGATAATTTGACAATGATTCCTAATATAAACCTGGATTTGATATAATCAGTAATAATAATTACGAGTTATTGAGGCCCAGATCCCCCAGCTGGGATCATTCAGTTACCACTTGCACAAACGTACTAGAGGCCGAGGGGCTTGTAACATATCACGTACTAGCAAATAGAGTTTCAACATAATTCTTTAAAAACATTAAAGCAATTTTGGAGATTTTGGTTTAAAAACAGAACACTCTCACAGAAAAAGAATTAGGTTTTAGAGAATTAATATTTCTTTGGTCTAAGTATCTTCCTTAAATGTTCCTCTTTTCTTTACTGAATACATTATTGGGGATTCTATTCCATTCCTTAACTTCTGTACATGTAGAAGTGATAAGGATTTTACAAAGTTAGTTTCATATCTTCAGATTTTAACTCCAGGAAATACCAGCATATAGTGCATAGCATATTTTTATACGTATATTGCAATTTTGAAATTCCTATTTAAACCAGTAACACAGTACACAACTCTCTCAATTTCTAACACTTAACAAGTTACATTGGAAGTTCCTCTCTTCTATTAAGTTTGGCAGATTGCCTGGCAGAATGAGACCCGAACACACAGAAGCCAAAAAGAAATTAAAGCCAAAAAGCTCTCCCATTTATCTTCTTCTAGTTCCCATTTTCTTAGTAATCAAAACACTTAGTATTGCCATAAATTGTATATGCTGCAGGTCATGGCAAGTATATGATTTCTCTCCACACAAGGAGAAATAATACTGTTGAGTAGAGTTCATCACCCCATCCCACAAAAAATAAAAATAAAAAATATTCAGTTTCCTAAAACTTGTATGTACTACTTACATAAATTATACATTTGCTTCTATATAGACAGGCAAATGTATAAATACTTTCTGTAAATAAACTGCAGTTTATTTCAACAGAGTGGCAAAAGCTACAGCTACAGTATTCTATGCTAATTAGATGATGGACTACCTCAAGCATCCTGCCCTTCCTTTCAAAGACTCTTTATGTTGAAACTTGGCATAGAGTATGCATCCTTTAAAAAGAAGACTGTTATAAAGTGAGGCACATGGCTACCAGAATAGGGTATTAAGGAAAAACTTCAGTTTAAGTTTATTGAAAAGTTTTTCCTGAACAGCTAACTAGATAATAGACTACATCTGTCTTTCCTGGGATGGCATCTACATAATGGCTGCTTTCTATTCAGAGTATGCCTACATTTTATCTCTCCAATTCACAACTGTTTGGACTAGACCCACTCTCCTATTTTATATTCCTTCCTTCCTTCTTTCCTCCCTCCCTCCCAACTTTTAAGGCTGCAGGGGGCAACAAATGCTTCACTAGTGTTAATTGCTAGGCTGAAGTATAATGAGAAATGACAAACTGAACTCAACAATATGTTTCTGTATCCAGACAATTATGAAAACTGGCTATGTTCTTATTTAAAACAAAATATAGGTTGAAAGCAGTACAAAGTGAAGTTTATTTGGATGTAAAATTTTTTTTGAAGGTTTGCAAAATGTCAAAACATCTTTAGAAAAGGGAGGAAAACCTTAACCCTCCCTCCTCTGAGGGAGATGGGCATTTGATTAATACAAAACATAAATAAAATAAATAAACCCTCAGATGGCAAAATGACAGATGACAGAAGACTATTAATTTACTCTTAAATTGTACTCTGTTCATCTTTCAATCCTAGATAATATAATTTAAAATTAGGGTAGTTAGTCAATTCTGCTTCCTAGATACTCAGTTAAATATAAAACCTAATGCATTTTTAAATTATTGGTGCAGGAGAATTTGCATTTTAACAAGATACAGTTCATTATTAAAATGAAGAATAACTTCAGAGCCAACCTAGATGAGGTATCAATGATCTTTGATCAAATTATCTGACATTTCTTTGAAGAAAAAACTTGCAGAACTTTCCATGTGCTCTTAAGTTCATGAAGAAGTTCTCTAAACCATTTTTTCCCCCCACATAATTCTCAGCTGGATGAGTTTGCTATTCAGTATTAAGACAGGTTGCCCCTCAGGAAATTCCTGGTCACCTTAGTTAATGTGAAAAT